AAAAAGCAGGAAATGAGCAGAAAATCTGGGGGGAAAAGGGCTGAAACAAAGCATGCACATTTATGTGATACGTTCAATGGTACAATAGTTAGGGAAGCAGAAACTGGACACTGTAGTACAGACAGCAGTCCCTTTACTGAACCATCTTTCTAAAAAGCATTTCATTCCCTAATTTGTGGAAAGCCAGAAGAAAGGTAGCTTTCCTGATCTCCTTGGGCATGCTATTCCCCCAGGCTTTGGGCACAACGTAGGATGCACATGAACAGCCAGTTGTTGATTCTACCAATTTGCAGGGAAACACCTGCCAAAGGCCCTGCTCAGAGAAGTCCCGGCTGTCTTGGTCGAGCAGAGGGGGAGAGTCGGTCCTGCAGGTGTGAGGGACTCAGGTGGCGACCGGCTCTGTACGTGATGGCCAATCAACTGAATCAAACCTGATAATGGGAGATGCATGCGGGACAACTATAGCACCTTCTCTCCCTGGCCCTCACCGTTGGGCTGTGAAAACTAGTTAAAAGAAATTAACCCTATGGCGACAGTCTTCTGCAGCTGTGGGAAAAGTGGCTTCATGGGAAAACACAGGAAATACAGATGGACGCAGTCGGAAAGGCATCCCTGCGAGGGGATTGATTTTCCCCAAGACAGATTCATTTCCCTATCCAGTTTCATTTTGGAACAATGTTCTTCTGGTCCTTCTTGGATTTATATTTCACATCTGTATGATTGTACTGTACTATTATATATAAGCAGGGGTTGTTTCGTAGAAAAAGAGCTAGGGGAACTCATTAGCATATGCCACACCCCCTGGCATCACCGGAAGTGTATCATAAGGCCACACCCCCTGACATCACTGGAAGTGTATCATAAGGCCAAACACCCCGCCCCCAACGGTCCTGGCCGCCGCCGGCCTTGCAACTCCACTGCCGAGCCCCATGAGGGGCCCGGCGGTGGACCTGCAAGGCCGGTGGGAGTGCAAGGAAGCCCCGCGAAGGCCCTCCCTGGCCCCAGGCAGGCAGGGGTGGGGAGAGGCAGGGAGGAAGCAACTTACCCTCCCTCTTCTCCTGCCTCCTCCTGGCTGAATGAGGGCTGGAAGCAGGGGGTGGGGCTTTATCATGTGCCCCGCCCCCCGTACCTCACCCGGGGGAACTGCGATCCCCCCCCCGAAATGACCTCTGTATATAAGCCAATATGTTCCTCCCTGTGTTTGGCCTCTGAAGAAGGCCTATGCAGGCCGAAACGTGTCAGGTCAAGTCCACTATTCCTTGTGTGTTAGATTCTGGTATTTTTACATGAGGTGTGATTGGGCCCATATAGATTTTTAAATTCTTTGTTAATAAATACATGTATCTTTTTAATATACTATATATATATATTAAGCTTTTATTGTTGGCCCTCTTTTCTATTTGACTAACCGTTTCAGGTTCTGGATACCTGGTAGTTTTGGCGACTGTGTTGGACTGGATGGGCCATTGGCCTGATCCAACATTGGCTTCTCTTATGTTCTTATGTTCAACTTCTCTCCCTGACCCTCACTGTTGGGCTGTGAAAACTAGTTAAAAGAACCCTGTGGTGACACTCATCTGCAGCTGTAGAAAAAGGGAACCAGCAGCCTCATAGGAAAACACAGGAAGTGCAGATGGAGGCATTCGGAAAGGCATTCCCTGCGAGGGGGTTGATTTCCCCCAAGAAAAATTCATTTCCCTATCCTGCCAAAGTTGATGTGATGAATTATTCAATTTGCATTCTATCTATGGATCTGCACTGAACCCAGCTCTTGCAGAAGTTAAAGCCTCATTAACTGAACTCACCTGCAGAAGCACCCATTAAGGTTTTACTGAGCAAACTTTCTGAGAGACTCATCTCTTCCAATGCAATGAAATATCTGAGACCAGTCTTCAGATCTTGTGTCAGAAGAACAAACAGTGAACTGCTTAGAGATAATGTTTTTATTTAAAATAAAGCATGCTCTTTGTATTAGGCAAGAATTTGATGAAAAGGTGAAAGATAATCATATAACTACAGAAAACTGCACGCAATAAAAACAGGTCTCCAAACATTTCTCACTCTTAGATAAATACCGAAGCATTTTTAAGTTGATGTGCAGAAGGCTATGTACAGTGGGATACCCGGTACACATGATATGCTCACCCGATATAAGGTCTTTTCTGATAGGAAGCCACCAGTAGAAAGCCTCATTTGACTCTTATGTGACACTTTTGATAGAGATGACAGGGGAAGAGAAATAAACTCTTTGAACTTGGAACACGTGATTGTCCTCCAAATAAAACAACTGGACCCTAAAGCGATTGTGCAAAGGAGTTTCTATACTACATGGACTCGAATACATCTTGGTAACTGCGACTAAATTCTCAAAGCAAGGTCATAGGACTCAAGACAGCAGTTGTTTGCAATTCCAGAGCAATAAATCTCCTCTTTTGTCAGTTATACCAATGAACTGTCAAGGTTGAGAGGTGGTTATGAAATGTTGGTACTTTTCCTGACCAGGAATTGAACTTTACAGGTTATGAAACTGCACAATGCATAAACGTTCATAAATACAATTAAAATCATAAATTTCCTCTCCCCTGGCTTTTTCTGACAGACACCAATGTGTAAACTGCGACTGAAGCTTTTCCCACAGTCCGGGAATTTCTATGGTTTCTCCCCTTTCTGAATTCCTTGATGGGAAGTAAGGCTTCCACTGTGACTGAAGCTTTTTCGACACTCTAGGCATTTCTATATATTCTCCCCTGTAGGAATTTCTGATGGACACTGAGGTGTGAACTTTTGCCACACTCCAGGCATTGATATGGTTTCTCCCATGTGAATTCTTCGATGGGAAGTAAGGTTTCCACTTTGACGGAAGCTTTTCCCACACTCCAGGCATTTGTATGGTTTCTCCCCTGTGTGAATTCTTCGATGGGAAGCAAGAATATTACTGTAACCAAAGGTTTTCCCACACTCCAAGCATTTGTATGCTTTTCCCCCTGTGTGAATTATTTGATGGGCGATGAGAGTATCTTTTCTTCCAAAACCTTTTCCACACTCCAGGCATTTGTATGGCTTCTCCCCTGTGTGAGTACTTCGATGGACAGCAAGACTGTAACTGTAACCAAAGGTTTTCCCACACTCCAAGCATTTGTAAGGTTTCTCCCCAGTGTGAATTCTTTGATGGGAGATGAGACCATTTTTTCTTCCAAAACTTTTCCCACACTCCAAGCATTTATATAGGTTCTCCCTGGCATGAATACTTTGATGGGAGATAAGAGTGTGACTCCGACTGAAGTTTTTCCCACAATCCAGGCATTTGTACGGTTTCTCCCTTGTGTGAACTCTTTGATGAGAAGTAAGACTGCCCCTCCGACTGAAGCTTTTTCCACAATCCAGGTATTTGTACGGTTTCTCCCTTGTGTGAACTCTTTGATGGGAAGTAAGACTGCCCCTCCGACTGAAGCTTTTTCCACAATCCAGGCATTTGTACGGTTTCTCCCCTGTGTGAATTCTTCGATGGGAAGTAAGACTGTCACTCCGATTGAAGCTTTTCCCACAATCCAGGCATTTGTATGGTTTCTCCCCTGTGTGAATTCTTCGATGGGAAGTAAGGTGTGCACTGTGACTGAAGCTTTTCCCACACTCCAGGCAAGTATATGGTTTCTCCCCTGTGTGAATTCTTCGATGGGAAGTAAGGTGTGCACTGTGACTGAAGCTTTTCCCACACTCCAGGCATGTGTATGGTTTCTCACCTGTGTGAATTCTTCGATGGGAAGCAAGAATGTTACTGTAACCAAAGCTTTTTCCACACTCCAAGCATTTGTATGCTTTTCCCCCTGTGTGAATTCTTTGATGGGCGATGAGAGTATCTTTTCTTCCAAAACGTTTTCCACACTCCAAGCATTTATATAGGTTCTCCCCGGTGTGAATACTTCGATGGGTGATAAGAGTGTCACTCCGACTGTAGCTTTTCCCACACTCCAGGCATTTGTATGGTTCTCTTGTGTGAGTTCTTTGATGGGAAGTAAGATGGGAACTGTGACTGAAGCTTTTCCCACACTCCAGGCATTTGTATGGTTCTCTTGTGTGAGTTCTTTGATGGGAAGTAAGATGGGAACTGTGACTGAAGCTTTTCCCACACTCCAGGCATTTGTATGGTTCTCTTGTGTGAGTTCTTTGATGGGAAGTAAGATGGGAACTGTGACTGAAGCTTTTCCCACACTCCAGGCATTTGTATGGTTCTCTTGTGTGAGTTCTTTGATGGGAAGTAAGATGGGAACTGTGACTGAAGCTTTTCCCACACTCCAGGCATGTATATGGTTTCTCCCCTGTGTGAATTTTTCGATGGAAAGTAAGGTGCGCTATTTGCCTGAAAATTTCCCCACATTTACGGCATTTATATATTTTCTTTCTGTTACACATCCTTTGGTGAATATGGATAACTGATATGTCAGTGAAACTTTTCTTGCTTGCAGCGCACTCATCCCTGTTGTCTCCTTGACGTGTATTTTCCTGTAGAGAGTTACCCCACTGCAAAAGACCGGAATTATTCCTCCTTTCGGGTGGTTGTTTTCCTTCCTCCTTACTTGCTGCATCCAAATATTCAAACTTCTCTGTCACGTCTGAATATGTATCCTCTTTTTCCATCCGTCGGTGTTCTTCCACTCCATTCGCTGACTGCCACACATCTCCTGCAGAAAGAAAGGGATTCCTGGTGTGAGGATATGACACTTTCCACAAACGCCTAATGCTGAGCCCAGGAGCACCTAAAGACTAAGAAGGTTTTTCAGGTAAAAGCTTTCAGACTCAAGGTTCCCTTCGTCATATTCGATTCAGAGTGGAGATCTCTCAGTCTTTATATCCCAGCCAGAGGGCGGAAGAGGTATTTCTAAAAAGGAACTCAGGATACAGAGGTACTCATGCACATTGTAATTAGCTGGATTAGAACATAGGAGAAATGCTTAGGGCAGAACAGAAATGGTTAGGGGCAGAAAATTAGCATCTGTGGGATAAGAATCCTATGTCACTGTTCAGCCCTGGGGGGGGGGGGTCCCATTGTTCTGAATCTGTGAATGAACTTAAGCTCAGCAATAATTCATTTTAATTTCTCCTTCAGGCTTCTCTCTTTAACAACTGCCATGCTTAGGTTCATTTATTCTTTTGTGTAGAGATTGACCTGTTTGTCTGAGAAACAGAGTGGAAGGCCATTACTGCTATTTGCTGGCATATACAACCGGGGAAGATAACAAGGGAATGAACCTGAGATGGTATGGCTGGCGTTGTTAGGTCTTGTGACTGTGTTGCCCGAGTGAACTTGGGGACAGAGTTTGTGGCGGGCCCTGGTCCCAGATTCTGTGTCCATGTTAGGAAAGGCTTTGTTCTGGGTTAGAAGTTCTTTAAAGTTAAGAGGCAAGAAAAGGTATGCCTCCCAATGCCTGTGAGAGAGACGTATTATTATCCAACATAGGTTGTTAATGATGCACTGAACTGGTTTTAGCTAAGAGCTGTATGTGACCACCAGTAGTGATCCTCAGAACACAAGAAGAGCCCTGGTGGATCAGACCAATGGCAGAAGACAGGACTCGCAATCAGTGTTCCCTCTAAGCTGAGTTAGTGTGAGCTAGCTCACAGGTTTTTAGCCTCTGGCTCACACATTTTTGTCTCAGCTCGGGAAGGAGGGCTCCAGAGCAAACTGATTTATGCAGCAACCAAACTGCTCGCTCACAACTTTAATGCCAGCGGCTCACAAAGTAGAATCTTTGCCCACAAGACTCCACAGCTTAGAGGGAACATTGCTCGCAATATAGCTTTAAAGTAAAGGTGCGATGCTCCCTCTAACCCATGGAGTCTCGTGAGCAAAAATTCTCCCTTGTGAGCTACTGGCATTAAAGTTGTGAGAAAGCACTTTGGCTATTGCATAAACTAGTTGGCTCTGGAGCCATCCTTCCTGAGCAAAGACGAAAATCTGTGAGCTGGAGGCTAAAAAAACTGTGAGCTAGCTCACACTAACTCAGCTTAGAGGGAACACTGAGAGCCTGGGGTTGCTTTGAGTCATATCCAGGGCTCTTTTGGTAGCAGGAACTCCTTTGCATATTAGGTGACACACCCCTAACTGTAAGAAGAGCTCTGTAAGCTCTTGGAGGATTGGCTACATTAGGGGTGTGTTGCCTAATATGCTACAAAAACAGCCCTGCAAGGAGGTAAAACGTGGTCCCAGGAGAGCCGCCAGGATTTGCTTTGAATCATATCTCTGCCATAAAGCACATGCTTTGCTTTGCAGGTACAGAGAGCCGGCAGCATCAAGGCCTGGAATCCCTGGTTAAAGGATCTCAGGTGAAACAGGGCTGGCAAAAGCCCTGGCCAGGAAGACCCTGCCTTCCAGAGTGGACAAGACTGGGCTAGACTTGGCATAAGGGCCACAGGAGTAGGCAGAAGGGAACTGCCTCCTGTCCCAGGCTGAAGATCTCCAGGCACCATTTCGGCCTCCACAATTCATCCACGCTCTTTTCAGGGCAAACCGTGAGGTTAAACAGGGCCACAGAAATTCACCCGCCATTCCGAGGAAGCGCCGGCAACACACAGTCCCAAGACAGAGATCTTAAACGGCTACCTGCCGATCCCTCTTCTTGATCGCAGCCCGGGAGAAACGGCCCTTCCTCTTCTTCCAGCCGGGATATGAGGTCAGGTTTCGCACACTGAGGTCCTGTTTATTAGGAAAACACCCAAACACACAAAATCAGACCTCTTCTTCTGTGTGCCCCTGAATTCAACAATTCCAAGCCAGATCGACGGTCCCTCCAGAAACACACAACAGACAGGTTGGGGCTGGGATGGAGGACCGTATAGGGTCAAGACGCATCCCACTTTTGTCACCCTGTAGGAGCACGGATATGGGGGTCATGCACACACGTACACCCAGCTCTGGGCCTCCTCGGACCTCAGCCTCCGTAGGCACAGATTGCAGATGGGGGCAGGACTCTCCCACAAAGTCGTAAGTCCCTTCTTTTAAAAGGGTTGACTTTGGTTAAGGGTAAAGGTAAAGCGTTCCGTGCACCTTGGTGTTTAGTCATGCTAGCCACATGACCACGGAAATGTCTTCCGACAGCGCTGGCTCTTCGGCTTTGAAACGGAGATGAGCACCGCAACCCTAGAGTCGGATTTGACTGGCTTTCGAGCAAGGGAACCTTTACATTTACTTTAAAGGTATAGACTGGAGGCCAGATGGAAAGGAGAATCTTAAAGTCAGCTGGCACTCAGAGCACTTAAAATATCTATTTGGGTAAATTCCAAATTCAACAGTTATTAAGATCTTTGATGATGAAGATGCCCGATTATGTCTCACTCGTGGCCAGTCCGTGAGAGAGCTGTGGGGCTGCCTGCGGTCCCTGAGGAACGTGAGAGAAGGAAGGCTGGATGGGAGAGAGGGCGAGAGGATGAAAGGGTGCATAGAGGAGGCCGGGGGATCCAAGGAGGGGGAGACACAGCCAAAAAAGGGGGGCAGACGGGAGCCGGGGAACCCGGGGGATCTGGAGAGGGACACGGGGAGGCCACCCGGCAGAAACCAGGAGCAGCGTCAGAGCAGCGGGGAGAAATACTACGGTGACTCTGGGCCTTAGTGAGAGAAAGAGGGAGAGATGAAGAAAGAAAGTCGATCATAGCTGCCAACTGAAGAGCGTGACTGTCTCATTTACGGTTGCCATCTCCCCCCTCGTCACTGGCGGGAGATGCAGTGGGTAGGACTGCCAAGTTCAGGTTGGGAAACTCCTGGAGATTTGGAGATGGAGCCCGGGGAGGACGGGGACCTCGGTGGGGTACGGTGCCATAGAGCTCAGCCTCCAAACCATCCTTTTCCACCAGGGGGGACTCGTCTCTGTCTTCTCGAGGTGAACTGTCATTCCAGGCGATCCTCACCTGGAGGCCAGCATTCCTGGTCTCCTTATTTAGGGGCACTAGCCGGTTAGATGGAAGAACCTGGCCTGAAATGTAGGGCTGAGTCCCAGACCTGTTATAATTCATCCCCCATATCTCTTGGGGGGGGGGGTGTTGTCCTGTGACAGTAGAATCAAACCGCACTGACTTATTTGCTAGTTCCAGGATTCAAGTCACTCATTTCCTTTGCCCACATCTGTTTGGTACAAGGAAAACTGTGGTCTGATAAAGGTAAAGGTTCCCTTGCTCAAAAGCCAGTCGAGTCCGACTCTAGGGTTGCGGTGCTCATCTCCGTTTCAAAGCTGAAGAGCCAGCACTGTCCGAAGACGGTTCCGTGGTCATGTGGCCGGCATGACTAAACACCAAGGCGCAGGGAACGCTGTTACCTTCCGACCGAAGTGGTACCTATTTATCTACTTGCAATTTCTTGCTTTCGAACTGCTAGGTTGGCAGGAGCTGGAACTAGAGATGGGAGCTCACTCCGTCATGCGGCAACTCGGGTCTCGAACTGCTGAACTACCGACCTTCCACAGCCTGCAGTTCAGCGTCTTAACCTATGGTCTGAGTCTCACTCAAAAACAACCATTCAGGACTTGCCGACAGATACGTTAAGGAGCTTGTAAGATGAGTTTGTCCCTTTATAGCTAACGCAGGAAGCAGGCCAGGTTGTTCGCTTGAATGTGTTAAAAAGACATTTAACTAAACAAAATCCCTTTACGTCTCCAGCAGTATCTGTCCTTTGTTGTCACAAAAACTGACATTTTTCTTGTGGCTGGAATCTGAAATTATCTCAGCCAGTCGGGACTCTTAGCTTCCAGCAGGAGCTTCCTTGCAAGGGGGTATCCAGAAAGCTCATTTTGAATCTTAAAAGATTTTGGCAATTCTTTCCTCCCACTCTGATCCAGGTTCTTCTTCCTCTAGGGCCTTTGGGCACCTCTTCTCTGGGAACGGAAGCAAGGGGGGGGGAGACTTTAAGCTAAGCCTTTTCCTATATTTTGGGGTAGACTGAGACCCTAGACAACTAGAGGGTGGCTGGCATAAAACTTGTAGTGCTGTGCCTGTTCAATGCCAAGCTGAGGTGGAAATGCCAGCTGAGAGCTAAGATGACAGAAAAGACAGCAGAGTTCCTTCCACAGCCACCTCTCGGCCCAGGGAAGGCCGGGCCCAGACCGGAGGGAAGCCCCCTGCTTAGACCCCCACCACCACCACCTCCAGACCGGGCCTCCCCTTGGCACCTCCTCTGATGCCCTCTCAGGTGGCTCAGGCCCAAGACTGCCAGGCGGGGGCTCTCCCTCTCTGCAAGGAGAGCACAGGACCCTCCCCACCTCAGAGGACAGAGGCAGAGACCAGATATTGGGAACAGAGGCAGGCAGCCTGACACCACCTCCTTCCTCCTGCAGGGCTCCCTTATGGTCACTCCTCACTGCAAGAAGGAGAGAGGGATCCTCCTCACCCAGAGAGGCCACGTTCCCATAATTCTCCAGCATGACCTCCTTGTAGAGCGCTCTCTGGGCTGGGCGCAGCAGGGCCCACTCCCCCCGGGTGAAGTCCACGGCCACCTCCTCGAAGGACACCCCGGCCTGCAAGGAGAAGGAAGCTCTTTACGTCACTGGGAAGCTGGTCCACGAGGGGGAAGCCAGAAACAGAGAGAGTTCATTAATAGGGGAATGGCAGCACAAAGATGTGGCAAGAAGAGGCCCCCCTGGGGACATCTCCCCCCCCCCCCCGAAGCCCTCCTTGGCAGCATCTTG